TTTCTGTTTATATATGGTTATTTTTGAGGGAGAGTACATCAACAGAGGGGTTTTTGTTTCTTTGTATGACTGTCTGTATGTTTTTGTCTTTTTTGTTTTTTCTGTTTTTGTTTGTTTCTCTGTTTATTTGTTAGTTGATATGCCTGTCTATTTTCCCTCTTCTTCTTCTCTCTCTCCACCTCCCTTTCATCTTCCTCTTTCCTTTTTCTAGTCTTTTTCATTTTCTTATATCATTTTGCCTTCAGAGGGCAAGCAGACACCCCCACTGCATGGACAGATTGTAAGGTGGTGGGAAGTGGGTTCCAAGAGGCCCACACACCTGTCAGTGAATGCTGAGATCTGAAGATAGCTTCTGAATCACAACTCCTCCCTTAATTAAATCTCAAAACTGCAAAAAGCACAGGTCCCCACCCCTAGTCCAGCTTCAGAATTGAGTAAAACCAGAGATCTACATAAGGAAGAATAGAAGATTGAGCTAACAGAAATAAAAGCTATCCTCTCTATCACTGAATAACAGAATTAAAAAAGAAATAAAAAGGGGGAGGAAAACATACACATATGAAGAAAAAACAAAGGAAAAATATGAGTCTCACACAGATCCCTGGGAGGTCAGCTACTGAGAATACAGACTTTGGAACTCAAACAAAGAAGAGTCTCCAAAATGACTGAACTCAAACCACAAACCCAGACATCAAGATATTAATAGAATAAGTAGAAATGAGGAAAGATGAAGAAAAAATGAATGAGTTGATAACTGAGATAACAGGAAAAAAGAATACAGTGAATGAAATAAACAACAGGCTGGAAAGCAGAATTAACCAAGAAGAAGAAAGAATCTCAGAGCTTGAAGATCAAAATATGGAACTAGCACAAACTGCTAAAAACATAGAAAAGAAGCTTAAAAAGACAGAACAAAACCTCCAAGAGATGAGCAATTATTTCAAGAATCCAAATAGAAGATTAATTGGAATCCCTGAGGCAGATAGTGAGACAGAGACCACCCTGGAACAAGCATTCCATGAAATTATCCAAGAAAACTTACCTCATCTCATCAGTGATGTGACCATTCAAACACAAGAGATTCAGAGAACCCTACAAGACAGCAAATGAGAAAAACAACTCCTAGTCACATAGTAATTCACCTACACAAAGTAGAAAAAAAATCCTAAAGGCAGCAAGAGAAAATTATCAGACTACCTACCAGGGAAGACAAATTAGAATAGCAGCAGACTTATCTACAAAAAAACTTCAGACTAGGAGAGCTTGGAGCCCAATCTTCAAAGTTCACAAAGATAAACAATTTAAACCAAGAATTACCTACCCAGCTAAGCTAAGTTTCATCAGTGATGGAGAATTAAAAACTTTCCCAGACATTCAGTCCCTAAGAGTTTACATTGCCTCCAGACCTGCTCTATAAGAAACACAAGAAAGTATTAAACAGAAGAAGGGAAAAAAATAATGACAATGTCCTTCACAAGAATGCAGGAAAAAGATTGAAAACACACATGACTCAACCCCAAAATCAAAAGAAAGACAACAAACAAACAGTAGCAACAACAACAAACTCTATAAACTCTCACATCTCAATAATTAGCCTGAATGTAAATGGACTAAATGCACCACTGAAAAGACATAAAATGGCAAATTGGATAAAATATCATGAGCCTACAATATATTGTCTCCAAGAGACTAATCCCCACCAGAAAGGACACTCCCAGACTCAAAGTAAGAGAATGGGAAACAAAATTTCAGGCAAACAGAACACAAAAGAAAGTGGGAGTTGCAATCTTAATATCAGACAAAATACTCTTTAAGCTATCAAAAATTTTTTTAAAAATGGAAGGTCACTACATAATGATAAAAGAATTCATTAACAAGAAATATTCATCCTAAACGTATATGCAACCAACATAGGAACACCAATTTTATAAAGCAGCTTCTAGGTAAACTTAAAAAAGATATTGCATCTAACACTATCATAGCTGGGGACTTAAACACCACACTAATAACCCTAGACAGATCATCAAGACGGATCATCAAAGTCAACAAGGAGATCTGGAACCTCAACATGATACTTGACCAAATGAACTGAACTTAATTGATACCTACAGAAACTCCACCCAACAACCATGGAATATACATTTTACTCATCACCACATGGAATGTACTCTAAGATCTAAATCAAGCATAAAAAAATTCCATAAGATTGAAATTCTTCCATGCACTTTCAGACAACAATGGAGTAAAAATAAATATCAACACCAACAAAGTTCCCCCCAAACCCACAAAGACATGGACACTAAACAGCATGAAGCCGAAAAACTCCTGGGTCAACACGGAATTCAAAACAGATATTAAAAGATACCTGGAAACAAATTAAAAAACAAAGAGGCATCTTACCAAATCTCTGGGATGCCATGAAAGTATTCCTAAGAGAGGAATTCACATATCTGTGAACACACATGAAGAAAATGGAAAGATCACAAGTTAACAGCCTAAGGAAGCTGGAAAAGCAAGACCACCAATAGCCCCAACTTCAGCAGAAGAATCCAGAATATCAAAATAAAAGTCCAAATTTGAGACATAGAAGACAAAAATTTATTACAAAAAAATCAATGAAACCAAAACCTGGTTTTTTGTAAGGAAAAACAAGATTGTTGGGTCCCTAGATAGACTGACCAAAAAAAGAGATAAAAAACTAAATAAACACAATCAGAAGTGCAAAAGATGAAGTCACAACTAACTCCATAAACTACAAAAGATTATCGGAGATTACTGTGTACACCTGTATGGAAAGAAACTCAAAAACCTAAATGAAATGGAGGACTTTCTTACATCACGTAACCTCCCAAGTTTGAAACAAGAAGAAATCAAGACCCTAAATAGACCAATAACATTTTTTTCTGAGTTGGAATCTCGCTCTTGTGGCCCAGGCTGGAGTGCAGTGGCACACTCACAGCCACCTCAGCCTTAAACTGATTGGCTTAGGCAATCTTTCCCCCTCAGCCTTACGAGTAGCTGGAACTACAGATGCACACCACCACACCAGGTCAGTTTTTGTGATTCATTGTAGATACGAGGTCTCACCAAGTTGCCCAGGCTGGTCCCAAACTCCCGGGCTCAGGCCATCCTCTCGCCTCAGCCTCCCAAAGTGCTGGGATAAAAGGCTGAGCCACCGCACCCAGCCAACCCATAACATTTTATGAAGCTAGAATCACATTGATACCCAAACTGGGTAAATCTCCAACAAAGAAAGGAACAAAAGGCCAGTATGCTTGATGAACATAGATGCTAGGCCAGGCTCGGTGGCTCAGCCTGTAATCTCAGCGCTCTGGGAGGCTGAGGTGAATGGACTGCCTGAGCCCACGGGTTCGAGACCCACCTGGGCAACTTGGTGAGACCTCATCTCTACAATAAATAAAAAATTAGCCAAGAGTGGTAGCATGCACCTGTAGTTCCAGCTACTTGGAAGGCTGAGGCGGAAGGATCGCCGGAGCCCAGCAAGTCGAGGCTGTGATGGCCGGGAGCAGCCACTGCACTCTAGTCTGGGTGACAGAGTGAGACTCCAACTCAAAAAAAATAAAATAAAATAAATGCTAAAAGTCTCAACAAGATTCTAGCAAACCAGATGTAACAACACATCTCAAAAGCCATCCATCATGACCAAGTAGGCTTCATCCCTGAGATGCCATGCTGGTTCAACATCCTCAAGGCAATAAACATAATTAAATACATCAACAGATGTAAAGACAAAAACCACATGATTATATCATTAGATGCAGAAAAAGCTTTTGATAAAATTCACCCTTTCTTGATAAAAACCCTCAAACATTTAGGCATGGATAGAACGTCATATTGGAAGTCCTAACTAATTCAATAAGACAAGAAAATAAAACAAAAGGTATACTGATAGAGAAGGAAGACATAATACTGTGTTTGTTCACAGACATGATGATCTGTTTAGAAAATTGGAGAGAATCAAAAAAATTATCCAGGAATCAATAAGGAATTATAGCAAGTTTGTAGGATACAAAGTTAATACACAAAATTCATTCACTTTCCTGTGTACCAAAAATAGACAAATGGAATTAGAAATGGCATAGACAATATCATTTACATCAGCACCCTCAAAATGAAATAGGTATAAAATTAGTAAAATATATATAAGATCTATAGAGTAAAACTGAAACTCTGATGAAAATCATAAAACTAAATAAATGGAGAGATGTTTCCAGTTTATGGATAGGAAGACTCTATATTGTCAGATGCCAGTTCTTCCCAACTTGATCAGTAAATTCAACACAGTCACAAGCCAAATCCCAGCAACTAGTTTTATGGAAATCAAAACTGATAGTAAATTTTCTACGGAGAGGCAAAAGACCTAGAATAGCCAGTGCAACACTGTAAGGGAAGAACAATGTTGGAGGACTGCTGTAACCCTACATTAAGACTTCATATAAATAAAAAGTGCAATCCCATTCACAATAGACACACACACACACACACACACACACACACACACACAGCATCTTCCTAACCAGGGAAGTAGAAGACCTTTACAATGAGAACTACAAAACACTGCTCAAAGAAATCCAAGAGGACACAAACAAATGGAAGAATATCCTATGCTTATGAATAGGAAGACAACATTGTTAAGATGTCCATTCTACAAAGGCAATCTATAGATTCAACACAATACCCATTAAGTTACCAATTCCATTCTTCTTAGACATGGAAATGACAATACAGAAATTCATATGGAAACATAAATAATCATGAATAGCCAAAACAATCCTTGGCAAAAGAAACAAAGCAGGAGGTATCGCACTTCCAGACTTTAGATTTTGCTGGAGTTGTTGTGAGGGTGCTGGCAGAGAGAGACATGGGTCGCAACCGGTCCCGCATTCTCGCCTACTGTGACCAGGATTTGCTTTCTGCATGCCCTGGACTGAGGTGCCCATGATGGAGTCATCCGGGGAAGAGAAAGTCTGTTCTGGGTTGAGTTCCAAACCAAGATACTGGATTCTCCTAGTTAAGATAAAGAACTTTGAGTGCTTAACAGTGAAAATGTCACAATCTGTATTAATATTTCACAACTTGAAGGCATGACAGTTAAAGAACACACATGGACTTGTGGCTCATGGAAATGTATGCACAGAAAAAGGAAACCTATAATTATTTAAAAGTAGGAAGGCATTCTTCCTCGCCAAAATGGGTACCTTCTGCTCAGTTATCAAGTTTGAAAATCTCCAAGAATTAAAGAGACTGTGTCACTGGGGTCCCATCATAGCCCTTGGTGTTATAGCAATATGTTCTATAATGGCCATGATTAACTCTGTATTGTGGTATTGGCCCTTACATACAACTGAAGGAAGTGGGAATTTCATCATGCTGATAAATTGAACTGTCATGATTCTTTATAATTACTTCAATGCCATGTTTGTGAGTCCTGGCCTTGTCCCCCTGGAGTGGAAACCAGAAAATTCTCAGGATACTATGTATCTCCAGTATTGTAAAGTCTGCCAGGCATACAAGGCACCACGTTCACATCACTGCAGAAAGTGTAACAGATGTGTGATGAAGATGGACCATCATTGTCCTTGGATCAACAACTGTTGTTACCAAAATCATGCTTCGTTTACACTGTTTCTTCTTTTAGCACCACTGGGTTGTATCCATGCTGCTTTTATTTTTGTTATGACTATGTACACACAGCTTTATAACCAGCCCTCCTTTGGGTGGAACACAGTAAGGATTGATATGAATGCAGCCCAGAGAGATTCTCTTCCTGTTTTTCCATTTGGATTAGCTGCATTTGCTGTCACCTTGTTTGCCTTGGGATTAGCTTTAGGAACAACCATAGCTGTTGGGATGTTGTTTTTTATCCAGATGAAAATAATTCTTAGAAACAAAATTTCTATTGAATCATGGATTGAAGAGAAGGCTAAAGATCGAATTCAATATTATCAACTAGATGAAGTCTTTGTTTTTCCTTATGATATGGGAAGTAGATGGAGAAACTTTAAACAGATATTTATGTGGTCAGGGGTCCCTGAAGGGGATGGACTAGAGTGGCCAATAAGAGAAGGCTGTCACCAATACAGCTTAACTATAGAACAGTTAAAACAAAAAGCAGATAAGAGAGTCAGAAGTGTTTGCTATAAAGTAATAGAAGATTATAGTGGTGACTGCTGTCCTTTGAATAAAGGAATCAAAACGTTCTTCACAAGTCCCTGTACTGAAGAACCTGAAATATAGTTACAAAAAAGGGGAGTTTATTTTAGCCACAAGAGGTTTACGATACTGGTTGTATGGAGACAAAATTCTTGATGATTCCTCTGTAGAAGATATTTCGAGAATAAGAGGATGGTTCCCTAGAAATTGTGTGGAAAAGTGTCCCTGCGATGTTGAAACAGATCAAGCCCCGGAGGGTAAGAAGAAAAATAGATAGTCGCTGTTAAAATGAAATTATTCTTTAAGTCTGCTCCATTACTTGAAAATTATACATATTACTAAGAATTATGCGATAAACCTACTTTGGTTAAGGTGTTCTTTTCCTCAAAGGTGCCCTAGTGCTATGATTTAATATTTTTATTACCATTTTGAAATGGAGAAGCCATTCTGCATATGCCTTTGAATTTCTGCCCATCTTTATCACCTCTTCTCCCTCCAAAAGGAAAAACATTTCACCCAAGTAAGTTAATTGCATTTTCACTAGGATTTTTTTATGCACTGCGCACTCTGAGCCTTACCTGCAGATATAGTTCCCCCTTTGCCAGAAGCATCTGCATGTGATACTTTTTTTTTCCTTCAGTTGATATCTCTTAAGTGATATACTAGATACTATAACTCAATTTGTCAAATTCAGTATAAACTCAAATTTTGTTACCTGTCTTTTAATAATGCAGATTTTGTCAAATCAAATAAAGATCAATGAATTTTCTGTATAAATAAATAAATAATGAATTTTGCTATAAGGCTACAATAATCAAAACAGCCTGTTATTGGTACAAGAACAGGGATATGGACCAGTGGAACAGAATAGAGACTCTGGAAGCAAAATCTCAATTTTTCAACCAACTCATTTTCGACAAAACCTCCACCAACAACCACTGGGGAGAGGAGAACCTATTCAGTAAATGGTGCTGGGAAAACTGACTGACCACGTGCAGAAGATTAAAACAAGATCACTACCTATCACCATACACAAAATTTACCTCTAAATGGATCAAAGACCTAAACATAAAACCTCAAACTATAAGAATCTTAGAAAAGATTCTGAGACACCCTTATGGAAATTGGAACTGGCAACCAATTCCTGATCAAAACCCTACGTGCCCATGCCATAAGAAATAAGATAGACAAGTGGGACTTCATCAAACTAACGAGCTTCTGCAAAGCAAAAGAAACCACAGAGTAGGGGTACAGCCCACAGAATGGGAAAAAATATTTGCCAACTGTATATCTGACAAGAGCCTAACATCTAGGATCTGCAAGGAACTCAAATACACTGAAACGAATAAAAACAGCCCCATTAAAAAATGGGCAAAAGACATGAATAGACACTTCTTGAAAGAAGATATACCAGCAACCAACAGACACATGAACAAGTGCTTAGCCTCACTCATTATCAGAGAAATGCAAATCAAAACCACACAGAGATACCACCTATTTCCAGTAAGAATGGCCATCATTAACAAAAAACAACAACAGATGCTGGCGAGGATGCTGAGGAAAAGGAATGCTTCTACACTGCTGGTGGGAATGCAAACTAGTGCAACCTCTTTGGAAGACAGTGTGGTGAT